AAAGAAAAAGCTAACTCGGAAGACGTTAACCCGGGCGGGAAACGACGTGCTCGCGTGCTGCTCGATCTGGAGCGCGAGCTACTTCTGAATGAGAAGTACGGCGTCGAGAGTAGTATGTACACGCTCGTTCTACAGGAATACGGGTCATTCGTCTGGCGCGGTTCTTTTACGTCGCTCGGAAAACCGGCTGGACTCGTCCTATCAGCTGTTGAGACATGAAAGTTCCTGAACGGGAAATTTTTTGATTGACGACAGGCCCATATGACTCAGGTCAGCTGGTCAAATGTCCAGGTGACAACTTTCTTTAACACTGAACGTACTACAACCGGTCAAATGACCGGATTTACAATATGAGTTAACCCTTTACAGTCGGAACTTTTTCACTAGAAATATTCAATATTTTTCAGTGAGATATAAACGACATTCTTTGAAACTAACTAATGAGGAAACGTACATCAATAGAGAAACAAAGATATTTTATTTGAATATTTCACATATCGATGCATTATATAAAGCGTAATATTCTACATATATAAGACTATAATTTTCCTATATCAAATCTACTGGTGACTGAGAGTCATCTGTCGAGCGCAGAGGGTTAAAATTCTGTATTTCCATTTAACTTTATATAAATTTTTACATTGTCTAATTAATCAGTTTTTTCGTTTTTATCCTTTCTTTCGTTTCTGTTTCCACTAAGAAAATATATCGTTTAATTTGTTTATCTTTATTTTATAACAAATTATTTAACTGATTACGGTAGGAATAGTTATGCATAAAGTGCCAGTATGTTTAGTGTTAACACTAAAACTACCTGACGGACCAAATTGAACAAATCCTGATTCCTTCATTTTGCAATGATGAAGAGACGACAGACGTCTCTCTTTAGTTATTAAAGAAATTGATTTAGCAATACGCAAACTGAATTATAAATTGATTGAAGTCTCAATATGTATACTCTTGAACGTAAAAAATCCATTTAACTGCTCGGTAGTTTCAGTATTAAAAATAGTCAAGCTGCCAACGCGTACTAAACATCGGTATCACAGGTAGTTTCGGTAAATGTGTTGAATGCTCCACTGCCACTTTTATCTACATCAGCTGTGCACCCCGATACATTCTTGTCTTTATGGGTTTCTGTGTTCTATAGGTTTTTTACAGTTTTTCCCATTTCACTAGTTTCTACGATTTATGTAAATTCTGTTATTATGTCTATTAATTACAAGTATCCTGTTGCAGCGTAGAGGCGTTGTTTCGCATAGGAAGCTGTCTTTCTTAGGATAATTTCAGGTATTGCCGGTATACAAAAAGATAGGTGTTAGATTCTTGTCTAGCATCGAGGACGCAACTGTACTGGAAGAAGTAAGAAATATTCCAAGAAACACGTAGTACTTGCGTTATTTTTTGTCGTCTCTAGTTCGCGTGTATGTAATAACGCGGCTGACTTTTCTTTCGTTGATGGCGTATTAATCGAAACGCGACGACCGTGTGGTCTGTACGCGATAATTTTTTCGCGGAGCGTTTAAGAAGGCATCCGGACACTAAAGCGGGGCGTTCGCGGAGATACCTGGCTCCGGTGGATGCGAGCTCCGAGTGGCTCACTCGTCTCCGCGAAATGCTCTTCCTCCGCAATTAGGGGCGGAAAGGCCGGGGAAGAGTGCACTCGCGGGGTTTAGAGCGAAACGGGGCCTCTACGCGATATGGGTAATTATACGGGGCACTGATTTATGTCTCGATGTAAGTGAGATGACCTCAAAAAAGTATTTACACGTTTTTACTCAAAATTGTATTTTTTAACTGTGTTTCAAGTGGGAACTGGAATTGCTTCTTACTCGCATTGTGATAAATTATGTGACTAATGGAGTATTAATAATAATGTTTCTTTCTTTAAATGTTCCGTATATGTAGAAATGATGAAATAGGACGATGGAGAAAATGGAGCAAACTGTAACTGAAGTTTTCTTTTAAAATTGTCGTACATAATTTACGGTATATATGAACTAACGAAACGAAAGTGTGATCTACAGAAGTTCTTGCTTTAAAATATCTCAAATGAGGCGATCTGTATATTAACGTCATCACACTATCTTCCTTTTAATAATTGCCCTATAGAATTCTCTAGCTATTTCGAGGTTAGGTGTCAAAAGGCACCTTGTGAAATTTTAACTTACAATTATTTTCCAAGTTTAGTCTCATTTTCTGGATTGACTTTTTGATTTTTCCAATAACGATTACAAAATTAATTATGGGAAATGTTCAAAATTCAATCGTAGAAAATAAATAGACTGAGAAAATAATTTTAAGCCAAAACTTCGAAAGGTGTCTTTCGATACCTTCAGTAGAAATAGTGTTAATTACTAGAATAAGGATATAAAATGCCAATAATTAATAAAAATTCAATTATCGAGAATGTCTTCGAAAATTCGTCTAAGCACAGGTAATATGAAACGACCTGTATACCAAGGCGTATCGAATAGAAAGAAAAAGATCCGAGCGAGCTCCACTAATCTCAGCGGTCCTCCTTTTTTTCCCATCTCGCTGGGAGAACTGCTCTCACGGCTGAAGTTTGTGGCGGGTGTCAGCCGTCGAGAGACACGAGAAACCGATCGAACTTATTGGCGAATTCCAGCGCGGAATGGCGGATGCCGTGTTTGCAGCTCTCTCTCTCTCTCTCTCTCTCTCTTTCTCTTTCTGTCCCTCTGTCTCCCTCCCTCTCTCTCTTTCTCACGACTTCGCGACTTTCCTCGCACGGATCAAGACGTGACGTATCGTCGAATTCTCTTTGCGGGGGGAAAAGATTCACCGGCGTTACATCGTCAAGCTTACGGCTCCGCGTCTGTCAGTTTTCGCGATTGCCACTGAAGGATCCGGCTGACACATGACAGGGAACATCTACTTGCGTCCAATGTTATACGCCCGCTATTTTTTTTTATAGCATGCTTTACATTGTGACGGAGATCGAGTCAAGTTGATTAGTTTTTTCATTTTTAATTCTTGCGTGCTCTTTGGGAACATATCGCTTGATAAAATGTGTGCTGAAATATAGCTTGGTATTTTACTTTTACGCATTGCCAGCGAAGTTTTCAGAAAGATTAACTGTGGAATATTCATTTAACGGATTTAAGATATGCAAATATAATTGATCGTGGAATACGTTGATACGTAGAATACCTCGATGTTATTTTCAATAATTATCTTCGCTACTGGGAACATGTAATTCCGCGTTAATTACAGTATCACCATAATTGATCCGCATATACAGAAGTGAAACAAGTAAACCGAAAGATTCTTGTCCGAATGTAATTAGTCGCTATATTTTATTATCGTTCAATTATAACATGTAATCACTCCAATAATTCCTAATTACATTTAGAACCTAACAGTCAACCATCCTCAATTATAACGACAATTCCACTTTTAATAATCTTCGAAATATTCCAACGTGCTATAGTTGTACCAATCAATTACTCCGTAATGATCGTTCCAACAGGAACGTTCGAAAACAGACACAGAAAGAAAAAGAGTTCGCGAAATCCAAACCCGAGGGGTAGCGATTAAATATCTGGGGAAAAGAGAGGATAGGAGAAGTAAAACCATTCCGACCGACGTGAAAGCACTCGTTTTCGAGGTGTCGGAAACATTTCGGTAAACTTCTGCCAGTTGCTCACTGTTACACACTTCTCCCTTTCTCTCTCTCTCGTTCAGCCCCTCTTTCTTCTCTCTTTCTTCTTTTGTTCCTCCTTTTCTACCTTTTTCTCCCTCCACCGACATTATCATTTTCATTTACATTTCCGCCGCCACTTGCCTCGTCTTTCCTCTTCCCTTTCCTTTTCGTAGAAGGGACAGGGAGATGGAAGGAGACTTCCCACTGGGGGTATTTTTTTTGTCAGAGGATGGGTAAGGTAGTATCTCGATACAGAGCGAAAAGCAGAGCGAGGCGAGCGAGGCTCTCGGGCGCGGCGGTCGGGCCGGCTCCCAGGAGGGAACGGTAGGAAATTGCGCCGAGCACTCGAGTCACGGTGAGAATCCACCCCCGCGACGACTTTCCTCTCGTCGTTTCACGTCGTTAGACGGTAAAAGTGCGACGGGAATCAGAAATGAGCAGCCGTCCGCTCGAAACAATGAGTCCGCCCAGCGAGACCGCCGAGGCGCGCTGTGCCCGACCTTTAACAGTTGGACATCTTGCTACCGTTATCTGTTATTGGGACCTATTGATTTCCGACGCGCGTTTAGGGATACAGTTTTTTCCAATCGAGTCGTTTTCTTTTATTTATTTTTTCTAGACGAGTTGTTTCTGTTGAGAATTGGATGTTGGGGGTTCTTCTTTTTTCTAGTAAAGTTTTCTTCTGAGAACGATTTGTTTTGGAAGAAAGTAACGAGTAAAATTTGATTGATAACGTCGACATTTTGAAAAAGTTATGATTTGCATATGGAAATTTCAATTATTTTTCTTCGGTTTTAAAATGAAACGGAACTCGTCCGGTTTCTTGTTTCAAAAAGTGAATGTAATGGATTGTTTTCTACGGGGTTCAGTATTTACTTTGAAGCAAAACAGTGTTTATTGTGTTGGCAGTATTGTCCAGTTTCTCTGATACTATCCTCCATTTTCGAAACAAGGAAAAGGCGGGAAAATGAGTTGAATTTAAAGTAGGTCAGCGATTTCCTTACAGAATATCGAATTACTTTATTATTCCACGGTTTATTTACACAATTCAACGGTAGAAATCAATTTGTTATTTATTGAGAAGATTTAATTGATCCATTCATATATTCATATTATTAAAACATAATAAACGTTAAAATATTTCAACAGTTAATCAGAATTTTTCTGTTGTATTTGTGTAAATAAAAGTCATGTCTTGTATTAATTATATTAATTCCTTTAAAGAATATACTTTAGTTGGCCGAGAGGCAAGATACGTCGCGTAATTTCGTGATCAACCACGACTACATCGTTTCCCGCCGTGTCAGAGTTTCCTATCAAGAATTTTCATTTCTAGACCGGAATTTTCACCGGACCAGTATCGAATTTCAACGCATCACCACTTGCACGTGCATGTGGCCTCACAGACACCAATTAACTTGACGTTGGCTGAATGATTGGACAGAGTTCTGGCTACGACCGATGTGACTAGGCGGTTTTTGCAATTCACCTTGGAAAATTGCCGGATGACGCACGGCGTATCCTACAGGTACGTGATTTCCTTAAGCAATAAATTAGTACATTATATGTTAGCACATTTTATACGTTTTATTTATTTTATCCATCCAAATATGTCCCTTACCTCTAGTAACACTTAAAATCAGTTCATCAAGTTCATCAAATTACATATTTCCAAATTATATATTTTTGAAGCCATCTTTCATAATAACTCGATACTGAAACTTCGTTTGTTACACAGGCACTCACAATCAAAATAAGTAGATATAGCACAGAATAATCAGACGCCTTTATTAAACCTTATTCGATTGTATAATTACTTATTGAATACATATCAATTTTCTTTTATATTTTTCATTAATTTTTTCATATACATTCCCCTTTTGTAAATCTACCCTGTTCACATTACATTATCTGTATTAAATCCCTCTCTTTCATAATCCTCACCCTTTTCATGCAACTCCACGCAAGCAATCTCCCTTCAAATACTAAAAAATTACATTTTCTTATCCCCAGCAAAATAATTCAGAAATATACCTAACTATGAACCCTTTGAATACCAAGGAGCGATGTATCGCTCTTTCATGCACTTGCAAAAAGTTTCTTTTTAATTTTAGTAGTAACAAAGGAAGTCTACCATGTCTAATACTCTGTACAAATGTTATTGACGTCAAATTAAAATTAGCCGAAATATAAATTTTTCTTTATAATCATGCATCTTTGTTTAAAATTGTCTGGCATCTCTCGAATATGTATGAAATTTCGACACTCAAAGGGTTAAGCATGCTTCATTCCATCAACAAGACACCAAAGAACAAATGAACTCAGCGAAGCAGAGTTTAACCTTCGCGCGCGAATTCCAGAAAGCTCGATCCTCGAGTCGCGAGTTGAAGGTACCGATTCATAAATAATTCCATCCCCTGTAGAGGGAAGAAAGCGTTCACCCCCCAGGTGGATAAAGCGGCCGGCGGCTAAATGGATTAATTTAATGCCGACTGTTCGTAAGAGTGCGCGTATCATGCATTCACAACATTTACGCTCGCGATCAAAGAGAAGGCCGCGCGGACAACGGAAAAAGGGTCGAAGC